TCCAGTGCATCCACATGGTAGATGCTCGACAAGGCTTTGCAGACAAGGTGTTTAGGTCAGAGTCTTGAAGAGTGTGTTAGGACGTCACCAGGAGAACAAATTGAGGGGGGAAGATATTCTGGCAGAGGGTGATGCTCATGAAAAGGCCTAATGGAGGGTGGAAGCTGGAATTGCTAGGGGCTCGGTGGGGCTGGAGTGTAGGGTGTGTATGGAGGAATGGCAAGAAATGAGGGTGGATAACAAAGCAGGGCTCAGGTCTCGAGGCCCTTATGTGCCTTGTTATGGAACTTAGATTTTATACCCAGGGCATCGGGTAACTATTGGAGATTAGGAAAGGGAGGCCACCATCTGATTTGTATTTCAGAAGTGTGGCTGATGCACGGGAGCGGAGGAGATGACACCAAGGTCCCAGGCCCAATGGGTCTCTACTTGTCTGAGGAAAGGAGCCTTCCTTTGTAGGACTAGGATTAGGGGTTCATGAAGGGCCTTCTGACCTGTCCTGTGTCCTGATCTCCTGGCGCTCTGCCCTCATCTATACGTTGGGTTACAGCGAATCTGTTCTTCCCAATAAAAGTCCTGAAATGTATGGATCATTTACATTTGTATAACCTGGAGCAAGTTCAGGATACGCTGTCTTCTAACTTGCAATCCTTTGTGCTTTCTTACGTAAAAGAGAAAGAGATGGAATTGTAGATGGGGCACCAGGGGTTACACCAAGCTCTGAATGCGCCCAGGGAGTGTGTGGGATATGCCAGTGGCTCTGGAACTAGGGGTACGTGGACGTGGAGAGCTAGAAGGGAATCAGTTTCCAGATCCTCAAATTCCACAGGTACTCTTTCCTAAAAGCAATCTGCTTGTCTGCATTGTTTTCAGGTCTCCTTTTCAACTCTGCTTTCCTTGTTTTCTCCTTGGCTTTACTAGAGCCACTCTGAATCTTTCTGTGGTGCATTGCTTGGAAATATAAAAACCAAAAGGACAGTTGGAGAATGCCTTGTTCCTGGGAGATAGCAAGCAGAGAGAGATTAGCTAAAATAAACTGAAGGGGCGGTACCTTACAACAGACTCTTAGTATTTATTTAAAAAAAAAATACTTGTTTAATGCTAATTATGTGCCAGCTGCTCTTGTAAGGGTTTTACAGGTAATAAACTCATATCAGATCTATAAAGTAGATACTTGTTATCTTCCTTTTACAGATAAGGTTCCCAAGGCACCCAGAGGTTTAATAAGTTGCCCAAGGTCATGGGGCTATTAAGTGGCAAAATCAGGATTTGAACTCCAGCCTCTTTCCTCTAGAATTTGTGTTCTTAAGCATTATGGCACTCTACTTTGCGCCTAAGTGCCGTGGCTCTTTAGCTCCGTATTATAAAATTAGAATTGAGACCTGAGCTGGTTGTCATGGGGATGCAAATGAACTCATTTCTAGAAATTTTTAAAAATGAAAGTTGATTTTCTTACAGACAGAAAATGATTCTGGTTTGGCTGATTCGTTTGACAGTTAGGACTGGCTTTGACAATTGGATTATACAGTAGACATTTTCCATAAACTGAACAAGCTAAATCTATACCTCCAAGGTTTGGATGAAAATGTATCTAATGCGTGTGTCTAATAAAGCCAATGCCAGAAAATTCTGTCTTGGAACCTATTTAACTTGCGAAAAATAATTGTAGTTATTAACTTAAAAATGTGTCAGAGGGTCCTAGCTTTTTCAAAATTTTTATGGAGATTCATGAGCAAAATATATGAAGACTTCTGGCGTGTGGCACAAACAAACATCACGGGCCATGTGCACCCCGGTGAGGACGAGGATCCTGATCAGGTGAGGTGAAGGGACTTGTCCAGAGGTCAGCAGGAGCAGGACTGGAGGAAAACCAGAGTTTTCGGACTGCTGTAATTTCAGTGCTCTTTCTATTACTCCATTCTTCCTCCTTCCTTCTTCATTTACTAGGATGGTTTATTCAGCAGACACTTGCTGAGCCCCTACAGATGAAGTAAAAAACAAATATTTTGTATTTTTCTGAAGCTTATATTCTAATAGAAAAAGACAGACAACAAATAAACACAGCAGATATTTTTAGATAGTGATAAATGCTGGGAGCAAAGAAACAAGAGAATGCGTATGTGGGGTGGGCTCCCACCTCTGATAGGTCCGGAGAGACTTCCCAGGGAGGCGCTCTTTGTTATGAAGGAGCTAGCCTTGTGTGTATGTGTTGGGTATGTGTGTGGGAGAGGGGCGGAGGAGAGAGGGTTAGGTAGAGGGAAGAGCACGTGCAAAGACCCGAGGCAGGAGAGAACTTGCTGTGTTCCTGGGACAGAAAGAAGGCCCTGTGGTTGCAGCACAAGGATGTGGGGGAGAGTGGTAGGAGCCGAATTCCACAAAGAATGCAGGAGCTAGGTCATGCAGGAGCTTATCAGCCACGGTAAGGCTCCTGTATTATCTCAAAGACAATGGGAAACCATTAAAGGATTTTAAGCAGAGAGCTGATATACTCTGATTTATGGTTGTGTTGTGTCTTGTTTTGGAGGGGGCAGGAGTGGAAACAGAGATGGAGACTAATTGGGAGTCTATTTCAGGCGCTCCATCTGCGATCTACTCCATGGAGGAACATGAAGATAGATAATGCTAATAAGAAGGCAGAATGGTATGGGATGTCATTCTGTCTTCTAGATCTGAGGAGGTGTGTTGGTAGATATTGCTGTGTAAGAAATCACCCCAAAGCTTAGTAGCTTAACACAACACTTTATTTTGTCATCATTCTGTGGGTCTGGAGTTTGGGCAGAGTTCAGCTGAGCAGTTCTTCTGCTCCATATCTGTCAGCTGGGGTCACACTTGGCTGTATTCAGTTGGAGGATGAGCTGGGCTGGAAGGGCCGGGCAGGCTTCACTCGTAGGTCTGGCATCTTGATGCTCTTCCACATGGCTTCTCTCCACGTGGGTAGCTCAGCCTTCCTCATAGCATGGTAGCCTCGGGGTATTCAGCCTTCTTATACGGGCATCGGCATCAGGCTTCATAGAGGGAGCGTTCCAAGAAGAACAAAAGTGGAGATTGCACGTTTCTTAAGGCCTGGCCTTGGAAAGTACCCAGCCCTACTTCCTCCATGTATTATTGGTCAAGATCAGTCACAGGGCTGGCCCAGAGTCAAAGAGAGGGGAAACAAACCCCCCCTCTTAGTGGGAGGAACAGCAAATAATAGGTTCTGTTTTTAATCTACCACACTAGATTTCTGGGAACTGAATAACCATAACCACTCTGATGATGCTGACCCACTTTTTAATCTAAATCACAGTATACTGTGCTGGAACAATTTATAGGTCTTCATTCCCCATTGAACAGGGACGGCCTGGAGACAGGAGGTAGTTGCATTTTTGTTTTTTCCTTGTGTTTCCAGAGCCTAACATATACAAGGCATTCAGAGAATGCTTTTCCAATGAATGCCCACGTCCCGTAAGAATTTATTGGTTGTCAAACAATCTTGTACATAAGGATCCCTTGGGGAGCTGTTAAAAAGGCATGCAGGGGGCCGGCTCTGTGGCCGAGTGATTAAATTCGCGCGCTCTGCTGCGGCGGCCCAGAGTTCGGATCCTGGGCGTGGACATGGCACCGCTCGTCAGGCCACGTTGAGGCGGTGTCCCACATCCCACAACTAGAAGGACCTGCAACTAAGATATACAACTATGTATCAGGGGGGTTTGAGAAATAAAGCAGAAAAAAATAATAAAAAAAAAGATTGGCAACAGTTGTTAGCCCAGGTGCCAATCCTTAAAAAAAAAAAAAAAAGGAAGATGGTAACAGTTGTTAGCCTAGGGGCCAATCTTTAAAAAAAAAAAAAAAGGCATGCCGATTCCTGGGCAAGACCCGCGCCCAGACCCCCTGAATCTAGCTGTCCAGGGCAGGAGTTTTCCATCTTAGCTGCACTTTAAAAAGCTCAGACATCAGCACTTTTTTACAATCTCCTCAGACAATTCTGGTACATAGCCAAGGTTTAGAACCGCTGACTAGAGTCAGAACCAGCCGTCTTCACCTAACTTCCCCCAGATAATCCTGACCTAGGTGGCCTATGATACGGCCACCAGCTGTCCTCGGTTTGCCCAAGACTGTCCTGATTTTAGAACCCCAAGTCCCACATTCCAAGAAATCTCCAGTTCCCTGCAAACGGGCACAGTTGGTCATTATCAACTGACCACTATTTAAGAAACATTGTAGGTGAGGCAGTAAAGCCTTTTTGGAAAATACCTACAAATATCTAATGAAAGCAATGATTCTGCCTGCTTGCTTAAGGGACTGGAGTGGCATCATAATGCCATCAGATAGAGCCAACGCCTTGTGTTAAGGGGGTCAGGGTTTCCTTCAGCCCTGTGCTCTGGTATGCTCGGTCTATTGACCTAGTTAATAGTGTGTCTGTCTTTGGGAATTCTGCCAGGCTCTATTCCTCAGGGTACATGAGGCAGCTGTGAAAGCCTGACCACGGTCAATAGATGACGTATTGAGGATAGTGTGAGATACAGGATGAAGTTCTTGTGCCTCCACACCAGTGTGTGTTATTATTACTGTTATTCATATTACATTGGGATACAAAGCTGTATGTAGTATCTTAACTAGCTCTGTGGGGAACCGGCGTGGCATAGTAGAGAGGCCCAAGATCTGGCCTCAGAAAAAGTGTGCCTCAGCTTTGCAGTGAGTAAGTATGTAATCACAGGTGTCTCTTTTTGCCTTAGTTGTTCATCTGTAAAATGGGATTAATAATAATCACTTCTAGGGCTGGCCCAGTGGTGCAGCGGTTAAGTGCACATGTTCTGCTTCCGTGGCCCAGGGTTCACTGGTTCGGATCCCAGGTGCAGACATGGCACTGCTTGGCAAGCCATGCTGTGGCAGGCGTCCCACATATAAAGTAGAGGAAGATGGGCACGGATGTTAGCTCAAGGCCAGTCTTCCTCAGCGAAAAGAGGAGGATTGGCAGCAAATGTTAGCTCAGGGCTAATCTTCCTCAAAAAAAAAAAAAAAAAAAAGACTTCTTGGCAGGGCATCTGGGAGGATCCATTGAAAGTATGCAAGTGAAAGTGGTTCTATAAACTGGGAAGGGGAGGTATCATGACTGTCTTTGAATGAGAGAGACACAAGGAATGACGCTGCTGAGAGGCCTTGCACGCGGCCAAGGCCCTGGTTCCCCACCCTGAACCACAGCCACAGTTGTGGGGTTGCAGGGGAGTAGCTTTCCACACGCAGTGGGCATGCAGAGACCTCCGGAGGCAGCCTGGCTCTGCCCGAGCGGCCTTCACCATTGAGGGCAAGTGTGCTTTGCTTCAGGAAGAAGGGAAACTTTTGGAAAAGGGGGGTTTGTGAAGGCATTTTTTGTTTTAAAATCTTTTGCGTATTTATTCCATGTGAATCCTCAGAGATGTAGCAAAGAGAAAACAACCACAACCACGAACCCATAATATCGAAAAGCAGTTCTTAATTTCTGTAGCTAAAAAAGCAGTCTTTCAGGCTACAACCACAGAGAGACTGCTGCAGGCCCCTGGAGCCGGGCATGATGATGGCTTGCGGTGCGATGAGGAGGCTGTTAATCTCTGTGGCCCAGGAGCCCAGTCTGTGGCCTCTCCAGTTACCCACGTTGCCTGGCAATGCCACCAAAAGCCTCCCCACCAGGCCTAACTGGGCAGCAATTGGGTACACCCAGCACAGCCTGCTGCCCAGCCTCCTGGGCTGCCCAGCCACATCAAGGCTGGCCTCAGCCTCTGCAAGGGCCCGCCTGGTACCGATGAATGGGTGGGGCCAGCTGTATGAAAAAACAATTCAGATATTTAAAATCTACTTGTCTGAATGCAGCTAGGAAAGCAGCACGAGCTAATGATCGAACGTCTCTTCTGCCAATGAGGAGTTGTCCTAAGATTGGTGGCCTTGGCAGTGCTCTCCTGGGTGAGGTGACGAAGGGAAGGTGAGCCTGACTTAGTCCTTCGGGTTCTCAGAGAGGCAAATTCTTTTCCTTTCCTGGATGCCTGTCTCCATCTTGACTTCCTGTGGCAGCAGTGGGAGTGGCGGGGATTCCCAGCCCCATTTTCAGGGCTGGTGACCTGCCAATTCTTCTATAGCTCTCATCTGGGAACTCCCAGGGTCTAGTGTGGGTCTGTCTGGGGAGCTGGAGAAAGACGAGGGAGATTAGGGCAGAGGGGAAGATGGCATGAAAATAATCAAAATGAAGATGTACACTTCTTTAACACTTGACCTAGAAATCACAGGCAAACGAACATGTGGGGTCTTTGAAGTCAGGCGCCCTGGGCTCCTCTCTCAGCCCTTCCCTCACTGGCAGTGTGACCTTGATCAAGTTACTCCTGAAGCCTGAGTTTCCTTATCCGTAAAGTGGGGATGTTATTATCCTGCCTTACAAGGTTGTTGTGAAAATTAATGAAGAGAATGCTCATAAAGTGTTTAGCATAGAACCTGGCACACAGGACATGCTCACTATTATGACAACTTTTATTATTTCAATTACAATAATTCTCTAAGATACTGAGGGGAGAGAGGGGCTCTATTTTACAGCTGAGGAAACTGAACCCTAGTGAAATGAAGTGTGGATTCTGGGAGCAGAACTCGCGTCTTCACAGTGCTGAGCACAAGGAGTGGTGTTCCTCAAAGATAGGTGACGAGCCCTTTTGTAGCCATTCGAGCATGGTGGCTCTGCAGGTCTCCTCTGACAGCTCAGCGATGGCGGGATGATAATGGGGGCGGTGTGCAGAGGAAAGGGGCGGTGGGAGGTGCTTTGCAGTATAAAATGATACAAGACTCAGTTAATGTGATGTGGAGAGAATTCCTCCTTCCAGTATTCTTTCAAATAAACTTGTTACTTTGGAATAATTGTAGATTTACAGAAAAGTTGCATAGAGTTTGTTTATCCTTTACTCAGATACAAGTATTTTCTGACCACCTCCTGTGCGGCAGGAGCTTACGGGGCACAAGGAATACAGCAATAAAACTGTCGCTGCCCTCCATCAGAGGGTCAGAGCATGTGAGACGCAGATCCTGAGTTTGTGGTTCTCAACGATGCTGATGCATCCACTTCACTGCTATACTTGTCAGAAATCTGCTAAATCTATTAACTTAGTTTCTTCAGGACTGGAGCCCGGGAATCTGGATGAAGACCAATGCTGGAAACCAGATGCCTGATGGGATGCTGAGGCATAGCCTGTTTCGGGAGCTACTGGTCTAGTGCAGACTGTTCACTGTGCAGGTGAGAGAACTGTGGCTGGAACCGGGAAGGGACTTGCTCCGCGTCACGTAGCCAAGAAGTGGCAGAGCCTGGACCAGAAAACAGGTCTCTTGGTTCTGTGCTCTCCTCACACAATGTCTCCCAAATACCTCACAAGAAACGAGTATTCCTTGCAACAGGAAGACCCCAGATAGAGTGGAGAAGAGTTTCTTGGCTATTCAGGTATATTAGCTAAGTTCTTGGTTGCAAGAGGAGGAAGCTGATTCTGGCCGACTACCGTAGTAAATGAATTTTAGTGAAAGCACATTGGGTAGTAAAAGAAAAACTATTTCTCTACTCCTTTCACACTCCTGACACCGAATGTGCGGGTTTTCCTCACCATGCAATTCTGACACTAACTACCCCACAGGTTCAAGGCTAAGTCCCCCAAGACTGCTCCCTACTTCAGATACCAATTGCAAGGCTGGGCTTCCAGTACTTTTGACTGACTGGATATAAATTGGGGGTTTCTACGACCACCTCCTCGGGTTCAGTAATTTGCTAGAACAGCTCACAGAACTCAGGAGATGGCTTTACTTACTATTATCAGTTTATTAGAAAGGATACAATTCAGGAACAGCCAAATGGAAGAGATGCATAGGGCAAGGTATGTGGGAAGGGATGCAGAGCTTCCACGCCCTCTCTGGGTGCCTCACTCTTGCAGCACCTTGATGTGCTCATCAACTTGGAAGCTCCAAACTCCTTTGTTTAGTGTTTTTATGAAGGCTCCATTACGTATGCATGATTGATTCAATTATTGACCTTTGGTGATTAAACTCAATCTCTAACCCTTCACCTCTTCTCAGAGGTGGGGGCTGAAAGTTCCAACCCTCTAATCACATGATTACTCCCCCCCTTCCCCCCCTCCCCCCCACTAGCAGCGGTCCTCCCAAGGTCACTTCATTAGCATAAGCTCTGGTATGGTTGGAAGGGGCTTATTATAAATAACAAAAGGTGTTTCTCTCACCCCTATCATTCAGGAAATTCCAAAGGTTTTAGGAGCTCTGTGCCAGGAAATGGAGAGCAAATATACATTTCTTAGTATATCACAGTATCACAGGTAGGTCACAAAATCACTAGAAGGCTGCAGAAACAAAGTTTGGGAAATAAGCAGAAACAAAGGGGGCCCAGGCACCTAGAACTACCCCAAAATCACATCACAGAGCCAGGGAGGTGAAGACAGTCCCACTGCTGCTGTTGCATGCTTGCTGCTGCAGCCTGTGTCAAAGATACAGCTGGCACTGGATGCCGGATGCCACACTGACCCCAATGGCAAGGCTGGACACCAGATACTGCTGCTGCTGTGACTGCACAAAACTGGGGTTCTCTTGCCTGATGTGCATCAACGGCCAAGTAATTGCAGCATCGGCCTTTGGGAAAAGAGATGAGCTTTATTCTGGGAGATCCATCTGTAGGGAGGCAGTGGCTGTATGCCCGCAGATCTATCTCCCTCATTCAGGATTTGCGGCAAAATTTAAGAGGTTAGGGAGAGCTGGCTGGCACGCAGAAGTGCTGGAGGGACGTGTTTTGATCGGTGGGCTTCAAGCATTTAGGGTAAGGTTTTCAACATTTGTGATGAGGTTCTAAACTTTTGTGATGGGGTTCTAAACATTCGTGATGAGATGGGGAAGGGATTCTAACACTGGATCTTCCTGAATGGGGGACCTCTCGCTTCTAATAAGTGTGCCACATTCAAGTTCCAGTCATGTCCCGATCCTTTGGTTCCAGATCATTTCAGGTTAAGATTTCTTCTTCTGCACGTGCTCTGGCTACGTGACTCTGCACATTTTCTGAAAGAGAATTCTTTTTTCTTTTTTTTTCAGGAAGACTAGCCCTGAGCTAACATCCGTGCCCATCTTCCTCTACTTTATATGTGGGATGCCTGCCACAGTATGGCTTGATAAGTGGTGTGTAGGTCTGTTCCCAGGATCTGAACTGTCGAATCCTGGGCTGCCAAAGTGGAATGCACGAACTTAACCATTGCACCATTGTGCCAGCCCCTGAAAGAGAATTCCTAATCACTCTGTTCATAAGAGATGGAGTCAGGGCTGGCCCCGTGGTGGAGTGGTTAAGTTCATGCGCTCCGCTTCAGCAGCCTGGGGTTTTGCAGGTTCGGATCCTGGGCGTGGATATGCCACTGCTCATCAGGCCATGCTGAGGTGGTGTCCCACACGGCACAACAGAAGGCCCTATGACTAGAATATACAACTGTGTACTGGGGGGCTTTGGGGAGAAGAAGAAGAAGAAGAAGAAAAAAAAGATTGGTAACAGATGTTAGCTCAGTGCCAATCTTTTTTTTTAAAAAAAAGAGAGATGGGGTGGGTTGAACTGGTCCTGGAGGGCCCGAGGTTACACTGCAGCTTTACAGTGCACAGCTTATGAAGAATTTTTCCCATCCCCAGCTCCAGCCTCAAAAATCCTAAGCAAATGCAGCTGACTGGTCAAGTCTAGTGCACAGACCTGAGCCCTCGCTGCCGCCTGGGGACCTGGAAACGTGAAGATTGGGCATTTTTACCTTCTGTGGTGGTAAGTGGTGCCTGCTGCCCACCAAGACTCACGAGCTGAGAAATTCCCCAAGAAAACTGACGTGGTCACTACGTGTTAGCAAAAGAATACACTGGAAGTCTTTGACATTCGCAGATTCAACACTCACAGTTTTTGTGTTTCCTTAGCTACCCTCAAAGGCCCATTGTGAACGAACGTGAGTTGAGTGACCGGTTTTGCCTGCACCAGTCATTTACTAGTCAGCCAGCCAGGCCCACCGGTCCACCTTGACATCTGATGTGACTTCACTATTCGCTACTAGTTTAAGCCTTTGTGTAACGTGCACACGGTGACTAAAACCTTTTATCCTGTTGCAGGAGTAGAAAAGACTCATACAAATAAATCCCTTGATAATGCCAGTGATAGAGATGAAAAGAAAGGGAAGAAGAAGTCTAAGAAAGTGACTTTTTTTTTTTTTTGCCACAAATAGAAGTTTCGGATAAATTGGCATGGAATGTCAAGTTCAGTGGTGTCTAGGATCTTGATATCAAGAGATCCACCATGTGTATCACAGAAATACAAGGAAAAGAGCTTTGGGAAGTTGTTTTAATGAGTGCTTCAGCCAGTGCAGAAACTGATCTTTAAGAGAGAGATTAAACTTCACTAAAAGATGAACAGAGGGAGAACTAACTAACCAAGTTTTCTTTTTCGTTTCTTCTTTGGAAACTTGGGCACGAAGTGTTGAACATGGTTAGTACTCCTCACACGAATTTTATAAATAACTTTACTTCTGCATTTATAGAATCATTTAGGGTCTGAAATGGAATCTCTTAAAATTTTCTGGCTGTAATTTATAACCTAATTTTGGGAAAGGCTATGTGGTATATAGTGAATTAGGGCACCAGGAAGGTCCTTGGGAAAATCCCTTGCTAGTGCCAAGGGTCTTTTGTGTAAATCTCCTTAGGGAAATCTCTTTTTATACAAAATTTTTTTAAAAGGCAAGTGGCTGTTCTGGGTAAATGAGTACAGCTCTGCCCTTTCCAATCCTTGGCCGACACACTGGCCCCGTGACTCATAACATGAGCAATGCTTATACCAGATAAGATCGGGAGGTAGGCAAGTTCTTTCTACTTCTCCTCTTAAGAATACTTGCCAACCACGAAGGGAAGGACTTTGGGTCTTGGTGTGCAGGGGGACATCTCCATGTTTAAGGCTATGCGTCTTTTCTACTTCTCCAACATTCTTTTTAACAAGCTACCTCAGTTGTTCCCTACCGGTAGGATGAGAACATTTCACAGCCGTGCAACCCAGTTTTGGTCTGTGTGTGTGTGGTTTCAACAAAGAGTTGGCAGCCACTTGCTGCAGATAAGAGGTAGGAGGTGAGGCATAACATCAAAGCCAACATTCAAGAAGGCTCGAGAAACCTGCATGATCTTTGCTTAGTGAGTAAGAAAGCACAGTCAGTGCAGTAAATAATTCCACTCAAGGGCTGGCCCAGTGGCACAGCGGTTAAGTTTGCACGCTCCGCTTCAGTGGCCTGGGGTTCATGGGTTCAGATCCTAGGTGTGGACTTACACACCCCTTATCAAGTCATACTGTGGCAGGTGTCCCACATATAAAGTAGAGGAAGATGGGCACAGATGTGTGCTCAGGGCCAGTCTTCCTCAGCAAAAAAAAAAAAAAAAAAAAGAGAGAGAGAGAGAGAGGGATTGGCAGCAGATGTTAGCTCAGGCTAATCTTCCTCAAAAATAAAAAATAATAATTCCACTCAATGAGTAATATTGTGATGAGAGTGACCAAGTAAATAATTTGATAGTTGTGTATCCTTTTATATCTCTGTGGGACTATAATGTGTTGTAATCATTGCTGACTTGCTTTGAGACTCCTGCTACATTCAGTTGGGCCTCCCAAAATTCTGGTAATCTAAAGTGTGTTTCCAGGGACTCTATCCCAGCTTTGACCTATAGAACCCATGGAGTATACAAGCCACACCAATGCCAGGACAAAATTAATGACCTTAGGATAGACTTGCTTTGTGAGGCCACAGGGAGGGAAACCTTGGACCCAGGAGCAGAAGTGCGGGTGAGCAGTTTTCAGCCCAGTGTAAGGAAGAACTACCTAAGAATTAGAACTGTCGGAAAATGCAATGACCCTAGTGAAGCCTATTTACATCCTTTGTAATTTTTCACCACCATGAATAGTTCTGCACCGGACGTCCTTGAAATACGGCTTTGTGTATTTGCTTGAATGCATTTGTAGGATAGATTTCTAGGAGTAGGATGGTTCTGTGGAAAGGTATATGCCCTTCATCTTTTATAGATGCTGCGCAATTGCCTTCCAAAAAGGCTTCACCAATTTACACCTCATAAATTGCGCTCATTTCCACATAGCCTCATAAGTATGGATCAGTCTTTTTCATTGTCACCAATCTGATCAGTAATCCCTTCCATCGATCCATCCATCCACACACCCACCCATCCTTCCATAGCCAATGATAGCTAACAACTACGGAGTGTTTCCTCCATGCCAGATACTACCCTAAATGCTTTACAGGCATTATCTCAAATGTTCTTCCCAACACTGCTGAGGTAAGCGCTATTATCATTCCCACTTTAAGATGGAGTCTGAGGGTTTCCCAGTAAGTTAAACACAAGATTAGCACATGACCCAGCAATTCTGCTCCTAGGAATATACCCCAAAAGAAGTGAAAACACGTGTTCAAACAAAACTTGTACAGGGATGTTCACAGGAGCTCTATTCACAGTAGCCAAAATGTGGAAACAATCCAGATGTCCTTCAACAGATAAAACAGATTAAGTGTATTTTACCCCAATTTTCAAAAAATGTAATTTGAGGCTCAGAGAATTTAAGTGACCTATCTAAGGTTACTTCCAGCTGATATGTGGTAGAGCTGTGTTTTAATCTCAGTCATTTGGCTCCATGGCTTATGGTTTAAAAAAAAATTACAGTGAAAAACTTTATTTTGGGCTATTTAGGAAGTCTGGATACATTAGGCTAAGCTGAAAATATCAGTAGCATCATACCACTTATTAAGCATAATTATTAAGTGACAAACACTATATTCTATTCAGCCTTCACGATGACCTTGAAAGTTTAGTATTATTGCTTATTTTTTTTGTGTAAGGGTAGTAAAATATATGTAACATAAAATTTATCGTTTTAACCATTTTCAAGTGTACAGTTCAGCGGCCTTAACTAGGTTTACATTGTTGTGCAACCATCACCACTATCCATCTCCAGAACTTTTTCATCTTCCCAAACTAAAACTCTGTACCCATTAAACAGATAACTCCCCATTCCCCTCCCCTGCCAGCCCCTGGTGCCCACCATTCTAGGCTCATGGTGCCAGGCCCAGGGCTATTGATTGGGGCTGCCAAGAAGAATAAGACATGGCCATTCCCCAGGTTTGTCTGGCATCAAAGCTTGTGCTCCTGTCCTCTAGTGACTCTGACATTATGCCTGTCTTCATCAAGTTAGAGAAGTCCATTTGTAGGATGAGAGCCTTGTTGTTGAAGCGTGCAGAAAGGATGCCTGTGGCTGGGGAGTGGGAGAAGGAAGTCAGTGAATGGAATATGGTTGAGATGAAGGGGCTGAGATGGGGATGAAGGGATTTCAATAGGGAGGTCTGTCAGGAGGGTCAAAGACAAGGAGAACTGGGAACATACTGCTTGTCCTCTCTTTACTTTCACAGATTCTTCTAGGGGTGCATGAGATTTTGCATAGGGATGTGCTTTGAAATGCCAAGGATGCTCTATGTATATCATTAGGACTCTTGCACCACTGCTGAAGTGGACTTGTTTGAAGGACATAACTCATGGGAGCAGTTTCATTGGGGGATGCAGATGACAAGATGGTTAGTGGGTACAAACCCCTCCTTCAAGACACTGGGCCACAAAAGGGAGGGGAGAAATAACACAGTGGTTGAGACTTCAGGGTCAAGAAAATGTCTCATAGATACGACTTTCTTTGGTTTTTAAAATTAAAATAGTAATACATACTTTTAAAAAATCGAATATAAACACAGAGGTGAATTTCTCATGAAACTAACAAAGCTTAAGCTTCAGGCCTCTTACTCACACGACCTTCCAAGGTCTTGTATCTCCTTTTGTAATTTTTTTATTTTGTAGTTTTAATTTTATATATTTTTTCTCAGAGAAAACTCCCCAAATTGTTTAAGCTTCAGGCTCCACAAAACGTGGACCCACTCTCTCATAGAGAGCAAAAGTCTAATGAAATCCCACCATGTGGATATAATCATGGTTAATTCTCATATTTTTTTCCTGTGTGTTAGTACATTACTTTTTACAAAAGTTGGATTGTACTCTATGTACTATTTTGCAGTACTTTTTCTCTTAATATATTTGAGGCCCCTCACCTTTTTTTTTGATCACAGAAACACTTGATAGAGTGATTTAAATAGGTTAGCCGGGGTAAAAGTAACAGAACCAAACCAAAAGGAGGATAGTACAGATAGCACCATGGCACAGGGAGAGGAAAGAGTATTTAAATCAGCCCTCATTATTATAGACGTGCTGTCCCCATATCCCATGCATCTGCTTGGTATCTGCAATTACTGTATAATTATTTGTGTAATTTTTATTAACCCCTGTCTCATGCATTACACTGGAAACATTTTGTGATAAGGATGGTGGCCTGACACGTAGTAGGTATCAATAGATATCAACTGCTATCTGTCAATAGATATTGATGGTTGAATGGTTGAATGGTTGAATGTTGAAGATTGAGTTCGAGGGAATACTGGGTGTGGAAATTAGTAGGAACTCAGCCAAGAATTTCGGGTGTCAGAGAGTTGTTGGGAAGGTGTGTTTTAGGGTGTTGAAACTGTACCTGGAGAACCATCAAGGAATGGCCTTCTTAATTCAAGTGTGCTGCAGAATGGCCAGTGGTGATATTTCAGAAAGGATACTGATAATTTAGAAAGAAAGATGTAGGTTTGAATCTTAAGGAAGTGATGTGGTTTTTTTGGGAGGTGAGGGGTGAGAAGCTCAGTGCTTTATAAATGGGGCTACAAACCCCTACCTCTTGGCGTTGTTGGAGTCCAATGAGTCAATAGATGTGACAGTCCCCAGCCTAGTGCCTGATAAACAGTAGATGCCCAATAAATGATTTTTGATTCTGAATCAGAAACCAGAGACCTGGGAGTAGAAACAAGATGAAACTAAAAAGGGAAAGGAGACCGCTTACTTAAACTAGATGAAACAGAGTTCAGTTACGCAGTGTGCATAGTTTGGGCTCTGAGATGCATCACCTCAGGGCAAAGTCATGTCTTTCACTGATGGTTGACTTGAAAGTCAGTAGCAGAGGGGAAGGAAGGGGTATATGAGGTGGTGTTGCCATTCCAAGACTCCAGTCCTTTCCCTTGGCTGGTGGCAGGAGATGAAACTAGAAGTGACCCCTGGGAGCCCTCTCTTTCATTTGAAGAGACCCTAGTACTTTGTTACAATTACACACTGGTGATGAATTATGGATATTATGAGTATTAGAGCACCAGTTGCCTTCTGTTAATGCACAGCAAACACCTTGGAAACCAATGGTTGAGCCAGAGAGCCCAGGAAAGAGCCATGGCCTGAAGACTACAGGGCCATCTGTTTTTCCCTGACATTCATGTACCTTTCAGGTGGAGATAGGACCCAGGACAATGGCTGCTGCTCATGATTTGGAAATGGAGGATATGAATCTAAATATGGATAGAGCCATGAACGAAGAGCTGGAGGAAGAGAAGATGAGAGAGGATGGCGGAGGTAAAGACCCCTTCAAAAATAAAAAGGTCCACAGGATTGTCTCAAAATGGATGCTTCCTGAAAAGGCCCGAAGAACGTACTTAGAGAGAGCTAACTGCCTCCCACCCCCTGTGTTCATCATCTCCATCAGCCTTGCCGAGGTAAGTTTCTTGGGTGGCGGGCACTAGTGCACGTACTGCTGGGAGCTGCAAGCAAACTTGGGGTTTAGATCAGATCTAGATAAGAGACTGGAAAATATGCAAGAAGAGAGCCCGGGGGTGGGAAGAACAACGCACAGACTCGACCTCAGCCTCTCCAGAGTTCTCTTCCCAGGTTTTTCCTATGTTCCCAGTCACTTTCTGCCAAGGGGTGAGTTTTACTTTTCAAACAAAACCCCTGCCCAGCAGACTGCAACTTAAGGGTCTTCGTTTCATTTTAGTTGCGGTCGGGGGGTGGGGGATGGGGGGGATTTAGAAACCAATAATCTTGGGGTTTCAAATTCATCTGATCTTGTGAACCAACTTTGATTGATTGATAACGTCTGTCTGGAGACACATGTTTAGAAGAGTTATGGGCTGACTCCAAATTTTAGGAGGAAAAAAATGAGATCCTCTAACGATGTCTACTATGGGCAGTGCACAGTGAGCTAAAGCTAAAGACTCTCATCTAGTCAGCCCTCTTGTTTTCCAGAAAAGAGTGAAAGGTCCAGAGAGGTGGCATCATCTGCCCAAGGTCACATACTGAGTGATTGGGCCGGGACTGGGCTTTTCCTGAGCCACGTCATACCTACTTTCCCCCTACACCGTGGTGTCTCATAAAGGAATTGGCAGAGGATGGCTACCTGTGGGGTGTGACTTCAGGGGCATTAGGAAGTCCCTACTGTAATCCTCTTAATTCCCACTGATGCCTCAACTTCCTTATCAGGGACTGTATTAGTCAGGATTCTTTAGAGAAACAGAACCAATAGGATGTGTCCACAGACACATGCACTCATACACACACACACACACACACACACATTATCTATCTACACATGCAAATATATATCGAGAGAGAGAGATTGATTGATTTTAAGGAATTGGCTCATGCAGTTGTGGAGGGAGGCTTGGCAAGTTCAAAATCCACATGGTAGGCCAGCAGACTGGAGACCTAGAGAGTAAGAGTTGCAGCTGGAGTCCGAAGGCCATCTGCTGGCAGAATTCCCTCTTGCTCAGGGAAGGTCAGTCTTTGTTCTCTTAAGGCCTTCAACTGATTGGATGAGGCCCACCCACATTGTGAAGGGTAATCTGCTTTACTCAAAGTCTACCGAGTTAAATGTTAATTTCATCTAAAAAATACCTTCACAGAAACATCTAGAATAACGTTTGACCAAATATCTGAGAACTGTGGTCTAGCAAAGTTGACACATAAAATTAACTATCACAGGGATCTATCTAGCCTCCTATGGCTCTGACAAAGATAAGGCTAATGCGTAAAGACTCCTGGGAGAAGCTGTTGTCAAGGCTGTTTTGGTTGGAGGGACATAGCTCTGAATTTTCTTAACGGGTTTTAGTGTGAGACAGCCCACAGCTAGGAAGCCATCAGGATTCTTTCTGCTTCTCACCACCCTGCCTCATGTTACCCTTCCAGCCCGTGGATTGGCTGGCCTGCCCGTGGTCCACTCAGCTGTGTGCCTGGTGGAGAAGAATGAGATAAGGTCACGTGGTACAAACGTGACTGCCACAGTCAGTGCTATGGAGAGGGCAGTTTTCCACATTGTGGAGCAGGTGCTAAGATATCCGGCTCTCACAGAAATCTCCGTTTTTTTATTAAAAATTTGTTTAAATAAAATTTTCATTTTGGAATAATTTTAGCTTTATAGAAAAGTTGCAAAGATAGTACAGAGAGTTCCTGTACATCCCTCACCCAATTTCTCCCATTGTTCACATCTTACATTTCCATAGTACCTTTGTCGAAACTAACATTGGTACATTATGTTCTATTAACTAAACTCCAGACTTTATTTGGATTTCACCAGTTTTTCCATTATTGTCCTCTTTCTGTGCCTCCTGTACCTGCCAACCCCGGGTATCACATTGCATTTGGTTGTCATAACTCCGCAGTCTCCTCTGATCTGTGGCAGTTTCTCAGTCTTTGTTTTTCACAACTTTGATGGTTTTGAGGAGTACTGGCCAGGTATCTTGGAGAATATCCCCTAATCTGGGTTTGTCTGATGTTTTTCTCATGATTAGACTGGAGTTATGAGTTTTGGGGAAGAGCATCACAGAGGTGAAGTGCCCTTCTCATCACATCAGGGACGAGGGGACATCCTCATCACATCCCTGGTGACATGAGCCTTCACCACTTGGTTGAGCTCGTGTCTGCCAGGTTTCTCCACTGTAAAGTTACTATTTTTCCCTTCCCCTACTCCAGTCTCTGGAAGCCAGCCATGACTTCATTTCATACTAACTTATAAATAAAAGACCAAATGGTGCGGGTGGGAAGACGAGGGCAGTGGGTATATAAGGAAGGAAAGGAGGTCAGAAAGAGTCATCTGTCCAGTCTGCGTCAGGGCTGCTCCTGACCACTGGAGGAAGCAGGCTATGACCACAGTCACAGGGTCAGACATCCGGCAGGGAAATGTAGTTCCTGTCATCTCCTGAGCGAATGCTACGGAGTGGCCCACTTGAGAGCTAAGCATTTGAAACACAGTTAGTGCCCGTGGGCTTTGATGGGGCCACTCTCTGGGGAAGGGGTGGTTAACATTCATGTCTGCCCCTCCCTGTCAGCTGGCAGTGTTTATTTACTATGCTGTGTGGAAGCCTCAGAATCAGTGGATCACCCTGGACACGGGCATCTTGGAGAGTCCCTTTATCTACAGTCCCGAGAAGAGAGAGGAAGCCTGGAGGTTTATCTCATACATGCTGGTACATGCTGGGTAAGGAATGACGCTTAAGTCACTGATGTCGGAGGGGCCCATAAGTATTGTAACCCGTAACATTTGCTTGGTGCTTTATTATCAGTGTTACTTTCATGTCCATCATCTTCCTCACAGCAACCCTAGGAGGCAGGTGTCACTCCTGCCATTTTATGTCTGAGGCTCAGGGGGTGTAGTCACTTGCTCCGTGACACATAGCTAAGCTGTGGATCTAGGACCTCAACCCATTAGTGCTGACTCCATCTAGCGTATTTTATATTGTGTTGTAACAGCCTAATATCAGTATTTATGTAGGAATCTTAACGAGAAGAGACCAAATCATTATCAAACCGAAAGGAAGTTGCCCAAGTTGTTGGATGTTGTTAAACGCTCCCTTTAGGATATGAATCATCAGCCCTCCCTCCCCACTCAGCCACACACTTAAAAAAATTAATTCATGGGCATTTTGACGAGTCTATGGTACTGTTGTCTGTCTGGAATAATACAAACAATAGACAGTGCAGTATCTGCCTTTTAGTTTTGCTCATAGTTTCTGAAATGCTAATAGCCTTTAACGACCTTGCTCAGAATCCATGATTCACCACGCCCACTGCAGCCAGTGAGCTGCCTGCGGCTGGTCCCACCTCTCTGGTGGACTCCTAGGGTTTCACATGAGGCTAGCTTTGTCTATGTGACCCACCCTGTCCTGGACCTTGAAGGATGACTCTGGCCAGTGGCTAAATAGGTATCCATGGCAGGAGACAGGGCCCCGAGGCTTGACAAGTCAGGGACAAAATCGCTAATTGCCCAGTTTCTGTGGATACTTCCACAGTCTGGTTTTCCACTTGACAAGTATGCCCTGAGCAAATGTGGCTCCTGCACTCAAGGACTTTAAAATTATAAGGAAGAACAGTCAGTTAAATAGTAATGCAAGGCAGTAAACTATGATAGTATACAGTAGTTATTTAATCTCTTTGTGCCTCAGTTTCTACACCTGTAAAATGGGGTCCCTCCTAAGGTTGCTGTGATTAAATGGCACAATCTTTATAACATCATTTTTACAGAGCCTGACACATAGTAAGGCACTCAAAAAGAATTTGCAAGGCTGCATAGGACATGTCACATATGAGGTTGTATAAATTAGGAATGCTTTTAGATGCAGGTAACAAAAATTGAACAGGGGCTAAAACAGATGGAGGTTAATTTTTTCCCTTAGAAGAAGCCCAGAGTTGGTTGGTTGGTTGGTTGGCTCATCAGTTGAATGAAGCCAGGACTCTTGGCCCTGTGCTGGCATCTCTGCTTTTCCCTTGGCCTTTCTTTCTTGGTTCCAAGTTGGCTGCTGTAGCTCTGCATTCAAAGCAGGAAGGGGGAAGAGGTAGTCCCAGGTACTGGTGACATCCATCCCTGTTGTCGGGACAGAAGCTCTCTTAAAAGTCTCCTAGCACAGCTGCTCTTTCCTCTCATTGGCCAGAACTGTGGGGCGTGGCTACCCCGAGCTAAGAGAGGTTGGGAGAGTCAACATTAGCTCTTCCAGCTTCACTGGAGGAGGCAGACAGGGGATAAGGAAATGGCTATTGGATTAGCTACAGTAATAGAACCAGAAAGAGGGAAAGATGAGAATGGGGATGGCCGCACAGATGACATGGATTCCAGTTGAACCTTGAAGGGTGGATAACATTTGGATGAAAAAAATTTGTATTTCTATTTCAGGTATATGACAGGATCTCATCTTTAAGCCACTTCTACTCTTGCTGTTGAGTAGCAGAAAGAGCGTTTGGGGTGATTCTTTGGGGTTTTTGTGCTATTGGTCCCCTTGTCCTCCAGCTGTTCCCAGAGGACAGGATGGGATGGCTTCCTTTGACCTGCTTGTTCAAATTCACAAAGTGCACCTATTTCCAAATCTCCTTTATGTCTGCAGTCTCCATAAGACTAGTATAGTTGTCCTTGCCAGACTATTCTGTGCTGAATGACATGTTACCTCTCGTATGTCTTTGAAGATGGCTTGGATGGTGATAGTTGTGGCTGGATGCACACGTGGCCAGAAAGGTAAGTAACCTGTTCTGCAGGGTGTACTCAGAGAGCCCCTTCAATGATCTGCTGGCTATTTTTTAAGCAAATTATAACACAGAAACATAATCCCTAAAATAGTACAAAAGCTGCTGCACTTTGTGGAAGATCCAACACCTATTTTGTTTTTTAACTTTTTGGTTTAACCTGAAATTAAAAAAAAAAAAAAGGCATTGTGCTACATAGCAACTAAATTAAGAATTACTTTAATGTGGGAATTTGCCAAATTACATTCAGAGATTCTCCAGAGATGCTTGTGGGGTTTGACAAGCAAAATAATATGAATTTCATTTAAAAATATTTTTGCCTATTTAAAAACTATAATAAAAAATACCTGCACTCAAATATGTTCTATGCCAAATCATAATACTTGGGAGATACCAACTTTAGCTCATGTTACTAGGTAAACTTTTTTTTAAGCTTTTTAATGTCAAACTGGAATGATTTTTCTCCTGCCATCTCTGTTTTATTAAAGAATATCCTGAGAGTGCAAGACAAGTTGTTTAAAAACCTACTGAATTTTAAACTCAATAGGAGTGAATTAGGATTTTCTCAATACTGTGCCACTGAAACAAAATCAGATGCTGAGGCTGACGTAAGATGGCAATTGTCATCTAAACCTAATTTCAAGCTTATGTTCTTTAAACCAGCCTCAGTGCTTTCTCTTTGATGTTATCAGTAATTGTTATAAAACAGAACTTATAAAATAAGTGTATACTTCTAAAATGCCCTTTTATCTGTTTTACATATTGAAGCTCCATGTAAGATTTTATTTAAAAAAAGTCACCTAAAGGAAATTAGAAGATGGAATTCGAGTTAAGCAAGTCCTTCGCTGGAAACAACACACTGATGCCTATTAATCTCCCAGGAAAGAGTGCCTGGGTTAGTCGTAATATTGACAACTGTGTTTGTCTCTGCAGAGTTCAGCACATCTTGGGGAATCTTATTATGCAGCTTGTTTTGGGGATTCCTTTGGAAATGGTCCACAAAGGCCTTCGAGTGGGGCTGGTGTACCTGGCAGGAGTGACTGCAGGTTAGTGTTCCGAGGGTATCACAGAATCCACACCTCTGGACTCTTAGGAGGTAATAAACAAAGCAGAGGTGATACACGTTGATGATGGGTTTCTTATTTAGGTCAAGATTTCTTGCTTTCCTAACATGTGCTGGGAACCTGGTAAGCATTAGAGATAAGTTATTTAGAGATAAGATATTAAAGATAGGCTAAGCGTATAGGGATAAGTCATTGTGCCTATCCTCAGTATCTCACAGTCTTGTGTGACTTTTGCACAATTGGAAACTGCGAGTAGTTTGGCGTCCAGGTGCATATATTGGGTAAAGGCCTAGAACCAGATCATGAAGGCCCTTATGTATCAGACTAACGATTTTGGGAAATAACATGATCAAATTTACATTTAAGAAAGATGACTTCAAGAGAATGTAGAGAATAGTGAAAGGGGCCCAAAGACTGAATAGGGCCTAGCAGCACATACCAGTGATCTCTATAATTTGGCATGCCTAAGATGATCCATTATGGTGTGGGCAGAAAATATTCCCATCCATCCACTTATTTATTTATTGGAAACATTTTTTTAATTAAACTTTTTATTTTGAGACAATTATAGATTTACACTGCAGTTGAAGAAATAAATACCTAGAGGTCCCATGTACCCTTTAACCAGTTACCCCCAATGGTAACAGCTTGCAAAAGTATATACAGTATTACGACTGGGATATCCACATTGCTATAGTCAAGGTACAAAACATTTCCAGCACCACAAGCTACGCTCTCTTCTCTCCCACCCCTACACCCTCCCTTACCCCTGACAACTACTAATCTATACTCTATTTCTATAGTTTTCTCACCTCAAGAATGTTATATAAATGGAATAATATAATACAGTCATGTACCGCATGATGACATTTTGATCAATGACAGACTTTGTGGGTCCCATAAGATTAGTGGGTCCCCTAAGATTAGTACCATATAGCCTAGGTGTGTAGTAGGCTATACCATCTAGGTTTGTGTAACTATGCTCTATAATGTTCATGCAATGACGAAATCACCTAATGACGCATTTCTCAGAACATATGCCCATCGTTATGTGGCGCATGACTGTATATAGCCTTTTGGGATTGGCTTTCTTCACTCAGCATAATTCTCTGGAGATTCATCCAGGTTGTTGCATGTATCAATAGTTCACTCATTTTTATTGCTCAGTAATATTCCATGGTATGGATGTACCACCATTTGTTTAACCCTTTGCTCATTGGATGATTTCTGGGTTGTTTCCAGTTTTTGGCTATTATGAATAAAGCTGCTATAAACATTTGTATGCAGGTTTTTGTGCACGTAAGTACAGAGTTTTGTGAACGTAAGTTTTCATTTCTCTAGGATAAATGCCCAAGAGCACAGTTTCAGGGTTGTGTGGTACTTGCATATTTAGTTTTTTAAGAAGCTGCCAAAATGTTTTCCAGAATGGCTGTTCCATTTTACATTCCTCCACGGCTTGTATAAATGATTCAGTTTGTCCACATCATCGCCAGCATTTCATGTCACTATTTTTTATTTTAGCTGTGCTCATAGTGTACAGTGCTGTCTCATCGTGGTCCTAATTTGCAGGTCTCTAATAACTAGTGATGTTGAGCATCTTTGCATGTGCTTATTTGCCATCTGTATACCTTCTTTAGTGAAATGGCTGTTCGTGTCTTTTGCCCATTTTATAATTAGATTTTTTCTTTTACTGTTGACTTTTGAGTTCTTCATACATCCTAGATCCTAGTCCTTTCTTGAATACGTAGTTTACAGCTATTTTCTCTCAGTCTGTAGCTTATCTTTTCATTGTCTTAATAGAGTCTTTCACAGAGCAATAGTTTTTAATTTTGATGCAGTCCAATTTATCAATTTTTCCTTTTACGAATCGTGCTTTTGATGTCATGGCCAAGAACTCTTCACTGAGCCCTAGGTTTTGAAGATTTTCTCCCATGTTATCTTTTTTTTTTTTTTTTTAAAGATTTTATTTTTTTCCTTTTTCTCCCCAAAGCCCTCCGGTACATAGTTGTGTATTCTTCGTTGTGGGTTCTTCTAGTTGTGGCATGTGGGACGCTGCCTCAGCGTGGTCTGATGAGCAGTGCCATGTCCGCGCCCAGGATTCGAACCAACAAAACACTGGGCCGCCTGCAGCGGAGCGCGCGAACTTAACCACTCGGCCACGGGGCCAGCCCCTCCCATGTTATCTTTTAAAGTTAGAGTTTTACACTTTACATTTAAATATGTGATCTATTTGAGTTGGTTAGTTTTTGAATAAGACGTGAGGTTTAGATTGAGGTCCTTTTTGTTTGTTTTTTTTGCCTGTGGATATACAGATACTTCAGAGCAATCTGTTGAAAAGACTATTCTTCCTTCATTGAATTGCTTTTGCACTTTTGACAAAAATCCGTTGGCTGTAGTTGTGTGGGACTATTCCTGGATTCTCCTTTTTGTTCTGTTGATCAGCGTATCTATCCCTCCACCAATACCACACAGCCGATACCACTGTAGCTATATAAGTCTGGAAGTCAGTTGGAGTGATTCCTCTCATTTTTGGTTCATTTTTAAGATTAGTTTATGCATTTGCTTTTACAAAAAGATTGGTGTCCAATATGCTGGAGTGTCTTTTTTTTGTTGTTGTTGTTATAACAACAGGCTTTCAGTAGCAAGCTATTTAACAGATATTGAAAGAACAACACAAAATATGTCCCTTCGAGGACATAACAGCATTTTTTCTCTCAGTGAGTAAGAATGTAACTGCTTTTCTAAAAATACTCATGCTATGAAAGGGCATTTTGAAAACTAGTCATTGGAAATTATTCCATCGTTATGTGATTTTGCTGCTGAAAATGATGTAACAACTCTTATAAGTTCACACTTAAAAAGCAGGGAAACAATTTCCTAATCTGCTTTAAGATTTCTCAGTGAAGAGTTTTAGTGGGTTTTAAACTTATTTATTATAACACTTTCTGATTAGTTTGCAAGAATAAATGACTGACATTAGGGAAGGCGGGAAATAATAGCCAGATTACAACAAAATTTTTGCATAATGGGAGTTAAGCTCAGCCAATGATGCAATTCTTCCATTTTAAACTACACATCATTTTTTAATTTTATATTTTAGCTATGACAGTGATTAAGAGAAAATTTCTATAGAAAAATAACTGAGCTTAGAAGTATATCTGCATTTCTGTATCATGATATTTACCAGGATTTTAAAAAATAATGAAGCTTATTTAATAATACTGCTCTTTGAAATAATTTTTTATAATTAAAGATTTTTTTTGAGAGCAGTTTTAGGTTCACAGCAAAATTGAGAGGAAGGTACAGAGATTTCCCATACACCCTGTCCCTACATATGCATAGTGTCCTCCATTATCAATATCCCCCACAGAGTGGTACATTTGTTATAATTGATGGACCTACAGTGACACATCATAATCACCCAAGTTCATAAAAACTCGACTTCACTCTTGCTGTTGTACATTCTATGGTTTTGGACAAATGTATAATGACATGTATCCATCATACTATCATACAGAGTATTTTCACTGCCCTAAAAATCTTCTTTGTTCTGCCTATTCATCCTGCTTCCTGACCCCCAACCCTTGGCGACCACTGCTCCTTTTACCGTCTCCATAGTTTTGCCTTTCCCAGCCATCGTATAGTTGGAATCATCTAGTACGTAGTCTTTTCAGATTTGCTTTTTTCACTTAGTCATAGGCATTTAAGTTTCCTCCAAGTCTTTTCATGGCTTGCTAAGATTTTTTTTATACCATTAATAAAGTAAAAATGACTTTAAAATATTGTGTAATCAATATGTCTCATCCTTTAAACATTCTATTTTTGAGTTTCTAAACAATACATTAGTGTAACAGTACATCTACGTAATTCGTAAGGAAATATACCCACATTCTAGTGAGTGGTTGTTACCAGGGGCTGCCATAACAAAGTACCCAAAGTGGGGGCTGAAAACGACAGAACTGCATTGTCTACAATTCTGGAGGCTAGAGGTCTGCCATGAAGGTGTCAACAGGGCCCCGCCCCGCCCTCTGATACCTGTTGGGGAGACTCCTTCCTTGCCTCTCCCTAGTTTCTGGGGGTGGCCATGGATCCCTGGCATTCCTTGGCTTGTAGCTGCAGCACTTCCATCTCTGCCTCCATTGTCACGTAGCATTCTCCCTTCCGGTGCCCATCTCCTTTTGTGATAAGGACACAGCCGTATTGGTCTAGGGGCCCACGCTTCTCCAATATGACCTCATCTTTTTTTTTTCTAAAAAGACATTTTTTTTTTTTAAGATTTTCTTTTTCCTTTTTCTCCCCAAAGCCCCCCGGTATATGGTTGTATATTGTTAGTTGTGGGTCCTTCTAGTTGTGGCATGTGGGATGCCACCTCAGCATGGCTTGATGAGCAGTCCCATTTCTGTGCCCATGGTGAAACCCTGGGCTACTGAAGCAGAGTGCGAGAACTTAACCACTCAGCCACCGGTCTGGCCCCTGACCTCATCTTAACTAATCACATCTGCAACAATCCCGTTTCCAAGTAAGGTCATTTTTGGAGGTACTGAGGGTTAGGACTTCAACGTATCTTTTTAGGGGACGCACTCTGACCCATTGCAGTGCTCAAAATGTTGGTTTTTTTTTTTTTTTACCAATCAAGACTTTGCCAGCCTCCTCAAGCAGTGGGGATGGAGCGCAGGAAGCAGTCATGAGCTAGAACTGGCAAGGCTTAGTGACATAGCTCCCCGTCCCCTTTGTCTTAGTGACAAAGCTCCCTCCTGCTTTCGGGGATCCTGTTTTTCCACTTTCTACTTCTGTTCCTGCACACACCTGTTTTTCCTGCCCTTAAAGACCTTTTGCCATGCTCAGGCCCTGCCTGGCTCCAGCGTCTACCTCCCTGTTCCCTCATAGCTTGATTTCACCCTGTGGACTCAGTCCTGCCCCAGTTTCAGAGGAGAAAAGAGAGAACGTGAATAACCTGTTGACACGCTTTGCCTGTTTTTGCAATAGCTTCTTGGCGGGTATCTATATGCATTCCCGTCTATCCTTCACACTGCTGCATGGGTCTCCTTCCTCAAACACAGATCAGGTCATACTGTACCCTTCCTAAAACATGACAGTGGCCAAAGGAAATTTGGAACATCCAAGATTGCTCTTCATCACCCTCCACTGCCTGGCCCACTGCCTTTCTTTCTTTTCTTTTTCTTCTTCCTTTTTTTTTTTTTAGGCAGAATAAACATTTTTAGTAATGATCAAAAAAGAAATTATACATGAAGAGGTTAGGGAGAGACTTGATGTAAAAACTTTTTAAAATCTCTTTTTTGAGCCATGATTGACATACAAAAATCTGTACATATTTAATGTATACAACTTGATGAGTTTAAAGATAAGTATACACCCTTGAAACCCTCACCACAATCTGTGCCATAAACACATCCATCACCTCCAAAAGTTTCCTCCTGTCCACTGCCTTTCTTGCTCTGCTTTTTTCCTAGATGTGTAATATAATTCTGGTTTCTCTACCCCTGCTCTGGGCAAAGTGTGGTCCACGGATCAGCAGCTTTGGTATGCCCTGGGAGCTTGTTAAGATGCAGAATGTTGGGTCCCACCCCAGACCTGCTAATCAATCTGCAGTTGAACAAATCCACAGGTGATTCGGACGCACGTTAAAGACTGAGAAGCGCTGGTCTGCACTCCCACCCAGGGGCCCCCAATCTGACTGATCATCAGCATCACCTGGAGAGCTTGTTACACCTGAAGCTGTCCACATCCCACCCACAGCTACTGACTCCGAATCTCTGGGGAGATGGCCCTGGGATCTGTGGGGGTTTTTTTCTGCTTAGTGAGGTATATGTCAACATACAATAAATTGCACACATTGAAAGTGTATAGTTTGATAAGTTTTGATACTGTATATAACTATGAAACTATCACCACAAACAAACTGATGAACTTATCCATCACTCCCCAGAAAGTTTCCTTGTGACCCTTCAGAATCCCCACCCTCCTGCCTCTCCCTGCCCCTCCCCCATCTTCCCCTAGGCGACCACTGATCATTATAGATTAATTTGTATTTTCAAAAGTTTTTATAAATGGAATCATAGTGTATATACTCTTTTTTTGTCTGGCTTCTGTCACTAAGGATAATTATTATTTTTAAGAAGTCAGAGATTTAATTTGTTTTAAAAATATTTTTTTCTTGGGATGAGAACTTTTAAAATTTAATTAATTAATTAATTTTTGAGGAAGATTAGCCCTGAGCTAACTGCTGCCAATCCTCCTGTTTTTGCTGAGGAAAACTGGCCCTGAGCTAACATCCACGCCCATCTTCCTCTACGTTCTATGTGGGACGCCTGCCACAGCATGGCTTGATAAGGGGTGCATAGGTCCACACCCGGGATCCAAACTGATGAATCCTGGGTGCCAAGCAGAGTGCTCGAACTTAACCGCTGCACCACCGGGCTGGCCCTACTAATTTGTTTTTAATTAGCAAGTCCATGTTCCCTCCACTATACCATGCAGGATCTTTGGAAAACAATATTTGTAGTATAATGCACAATCTTCCAAATGGCCAGAGGTTTGCGAGCAGGAGCTTTTTTTTTTTGCTGACTTTATGATAAGATGGTCTTCTTTCTTCAGATTTTTTTTTTCTGCATTATCTTCCCAAACCCCCCACCCCAGACACAGTTGTATATCTCAGTTGCAGGTCCTTCTAGTTGTGGGATATCAGATTTTTTTTTTTTTTGAGGAAGATTGGCCCTGAGCTAACATCTGTGCCCATCTTCCTCTATTTTATATGTGGGATGCCTGCCACAGCATGGCTTGATAAGTGGTGGGTAGGTCTGTTCTGGGGATCCAAACCGGTGAACCCTGGGCTGCTGCAGCAGAGCGCACATACTTAACTGCCAGCTCCTTTCTTCAGATTTTTTAAAAAAGTTATTTTATTGAGCTCATATTGGCTTATAACATTGTGTAATTTCAGATGTACATTATTATATATCAGTTTCTGTATAGACTGCATCGTGCTCACCACCAATAGTCTAGCTTTTATCCATCACCATACATGTGTGCCCCTTTACGCCTTTCACTCTCAACCCCATCCACTCTGGTAACCACTAATCTGTTCTCTTTATCCATGTGTTCGTTTATCTTCTACATATGAATGAAATCATATGGTGTTTGTCTTTCTCTGTCTGGCTTATTTTGCTGAGCATAATCCCTCAAGGTCTATCCATGTTATCGCAAATGCATGATTTTGTCCTTTATTTATGGCTGAGTAATATTCCATTGTATATATATACCACATCTTCTTTATTCATTCAGCCATTGATGGGCACTTGGGTTGTTTCCACATCTTGGCTATTGTGAATAATGCTGCAATGAACATAGGGGTGCATAAATCTCTTTGAATTGTTGATTTCTTGTTCTTTGGATAAATACCCAGTAGTGGGATAGCTGGATTGTATGGTACTTCTATTTTTAATTTTTTGAGAAATCTCCACACTGTTTTCCATAGTGACTGCACCAGTTTGCATTCCCACCAGTAGTGTATGAGGGTTCCCTTTTCTCCACATCCTCTCCAACATTTGTTATTTCTTGTCTTGTTAATTATAGCCATTCTGACAGGTGTAAGGTGATATCTCATTGTAGTTTTGATTTGCATTTCCCTAATAAAAAGTGATGTTGAACATCTTTTCATGTGCCTGTTGGCCATCTGTATATCTTCTTTGGAAAAATGTCTGTTCATATCCTCCACCCATTTTTTGATCAGGTTGTTCATTCTTTTGTTGTTGAGTTGTATGAGTTCTTTATATATTTTGGAAATTAATCCCTTACTGGATATATGATTCGCAAATATTTTCTCCCAGTTGGTGGGTTGTCTTTTTGTTTTGTTCATGGTTTTCTTTGCCTTGAAGAATTTCTTTAGTCTGATGTAATCCCATTTGTTTATTTTTTTTCTTTTGTTTTCCTGGCCTGAGTAGACATGGTATTTGAAAAGATACTGCCAAGGACCAATGTCAAAGAGCGTACTGCCTATGTTTTCTTCTAGGAGTTTTATGATTTCAGGTCTTACTTTCAAGTCTTTAATCCATTTTGAGTTAGTTTTTGTGTATGGTGTAAGATAATGGTCTACTTTCATTCTTTTGCATGTGGCTGTCTAGTTTCCCCAGCACCATTTATTGAAGAGACTTTCCCTTCTCCGTCGTGTGTTCTTGGCTCCTTTGTTGAAGATTAGCTGTCCACAGACGTGTGGTTTTATTTCTGGGCTCTCAAGTCTGCTTCACTTATCTGTGTGTCTGTTTTTCTGCCAGTATCATGCTGTTTTGATTACTATGGCTTTGTAGTATATTTTGAAGTCAGGGATTGTGGTACCTCTAGCTTTGTTCTTTTTTCTCAGGATTGTTTTGGCTATTTGGGGTCTTTTGTTGTTCCACATAAATTTTAGGATTCTTTGTTCTATTTCCATGAAGAACGTCATTGGGATTCTGATTGGGATTGCATTGAATCTGTAGATTGTTTTAGGTAATTTGGACATTTGACTATACTTATGCTTCCAATCCATGAGCATGGAATATCTTTCCATCTCTTTATGTCTTTGATTTCTTTCAATAATGTCTTGTAGTTTTCATTGTATAGGTCTTTCACCTTCTTGGTTAAATTTATTCCTAGATATTTTATTCTTTTTGTTGCAATTGTAAATGGGATTGTATTCTTGACTTCTCTTTCTGCTAGTTTGTTGTCAGTGTATAGAAATGCAACAGATTTTTTTATGTTGATTTTGTACCCTGCAACTTTGCTGTAGTTGTTATTTCTAATAGGTTTCTGGTGGATTCTTTAGGGTTTTCTATATTTATAATCATGCCATCCACAAACAATGAGAGTTTTACTTCTTCCTTCCCAGTTTGGATCCCTTTTATTTCTTTTTCTTGCCTAATTGGTCAGGCCAAAACTTCCAGTACTGTGTTGAATGAGAGTGGTGAGAGTAGGCACCCTTTTCTTGTTCCTTTTCTCAGAGGAATGGCTTTCAGTTTTTCACCATTAAGTATGATGTTGGCTGTGCGTTTGTCATATATGGCCTTTATTATGTTGAGGTGCTTTCCTTCTATATTCATTTTTATTTAGTTTTTTTTTTTTAAATCATAAATGGATGTTGGATCTTGTCAACTGCTTTCTCTGCATCTATTGAGATGATCATGTGATTTTTATTCCTCATTGTGTCAATGTAGCATATCACATTGATTGATTTGCGGATGTTGAACCATCCCTGCATCC